CCATTTTCTTTTGACAACTAGTTCAATCTCTTCTCTTTCATTAGATCAAATTGCGTATAATCAAAGCGCCAAAAAAAAATCTTGTACATTGGCCAGTTCATTGATCTTTTAAAAAACTCCTCATTCAGCTTTGATTTCATCAAAAACGAAAATTAAGAAAAGAAAACAAAGATTCAGTAGTTCGAATATCTGTCAAAGAGCTTTTTCTCAATCATCTAACCACAGGGAAGAGATTAATAGTCGTAACAATCAGCAACTTGATGTTTTCATCAAAACCAATTGAGAGATCTGTAACTGTTCACAGAATTCATTCACATGTATTTCCGTTACTCGACATACTTTACCTATAATCTCACAGTCATCAACATGAAAGACGAGATATTTATTCTTTTACTGACTATTTTTCGAGCAGGGATCGGATGAGGTCGGATGAAAAATGGAGCGTTTGTGCTGGCGGGGCGTGAGGCGCCACATAAAATTCAGCAAATGGAATCGAAATTAATCACTGGTGGTAAAGATATTGTGACGCACACGAGTGAACAAGTAGAGACCCTTCGACAGAAACGGTTTGTTATTTGTTTGTTGATTCAAGTGATCGAAATCAGCTTCGATTGTAGGCGTTTGATTGCTGAAGCTGAACGTCGTCAACGTGAAGTTCAACAACGATTGGCCGAAGGTGAAGAAGAACGACAAACGATCAATGCGAAATATACGAATGTCAAAGAAGAAGTTGAAGATAAACGAGCGAAACGTGATAAGTTATCGAAACATCTGAAGAAAATTGAGGCCAAACGAACGGAGATATTCGAACATCAACCATCTGCACGAGAAGAACTCGAAGCTGAACAGCGAGAGATTCAAAAACAAACCAAACTTCTTCAATTAGCTATCGAAAATTTCATTCCAGAAGATGAACGTGAACGATTATATAAAAGAATTCAATTTGATGATCATCAGAATCAATGGACATTGAAAGAATTGTCGAAAGAAACGTAAACAATCTTAAACGAAAAAAAAACATATCGTTCGTTTTCCTATGGGCGCAATGCTTATGGTGATATATATCCGAGGTAAACATCTTTTGTTTTACCAGTAAAATGNGGGCTGTTGTTTCATGTGTGAAAAATGATCATGAATAATGGACATTACATAAATAACAAGAACGATGACAGTTCTTTGGCTAGTTTTGAAAAAGGTTGAAATTGACGAGGACCGTTCTCGAGACATCATTTGGAAGCGCAAGTTTTATCTGAAGTATAACCCAATCAGTCGAGGGTAATGCGAGTCTCCCTCGACGAGCGTTATTTTATTTTGAAAACGATGCATTTTTATTGCTACGCAGGCAACAGGACTAAAATTTCAAGATAGAATTTCTCTCGGATAGACTAACCATCTCACCTATTTCCAGTATTTTCATGTCTCGTATATGCGCGAATATAAAAATTTTCGAAGAAGCACAAAGAATTTTGGCTCACACTTTATATTTTCATTGCTTAGCCTTATTATGTCGATTATGTTTTAAGCGACAGAAGTGTATTCAAATTTCATATTCAATAGAAACAAATCTAGTGGAACCATTTGTCAAGTATTGAACATCAGCTTCCACAGGAAAACTCTATTTTTTCTAATAAAAAAACGTTCTATAGAATTCAACAGAAGTTATTTTGGCTGCAATAAAAATGTAATCAATTCATCAAGACTAAGATAAATGAGTTGATATGCTTATTGCTAATTAAGGTATGTTTAAAAGTATCCTTTGTCACATTTGTTTCATAGTATTGCAGCTCTGAAAAACGAAATTAGTTTGCTGATGTTCATATTTAGTAATTAACAAGTACTCTTACTAGGTATGTGGTTGTGAATATAAACTTGGAATATCTCTCTATCATCTAGAAAAATAGTCGATATAGGAAAACAAAACAAAACAACAACAATATTGTGAAAAATTTTTAGGAAGTGAGTTTCAAAACATGCTGTTGAATAGGCAGTTAATAGTGTTTGTTTAGAAGCAAATTGTTTTCTTTGTGAGCTGATATAATTGTACGCCACTCGTTACTCATCCTGAATCTGACATTAACGCAATTATGACAGCATTCCACGTCTGCTTCACCCAGCGACATGTCTATGTAAGTACTATATCGTGAGCACATCCCCACTTATATTCTCAACTATTACAGATTTCAACTACAATAGGAACTTGACGCCATCAGTTAAAAGCCAGAGTATTCGTACAGCGAGTAAAATTTTTCTCTGCACCTGGATGTCTAAGGACTTTCGGATGACATCTTTCAATGCTAAGCACTGAGTTGATGGAAGAGGTCCTATTGTATTTTTCAGAAATTTTATCGCCTAATTTTGACTTCTGACAGTAATCAACTACCATCCAGAATCCAAGTTCCTTCATTTTCGCGGTCTTTTTTCTTCTTCCAGTCATGCAAATCGTATGGACGTACAACACATCCTTAGCACATGGATTAATGAGACCCGAGGTTGGGCAAATCTTACCAGATAACCGAAAAAAATGGCTAGGGTATGTTCTAACAGCTGCCATCTTTGCATTGTTTTTGGTTCTTTGCACTATGGCCGCAGTGCTTTGGTTAATAAACCTGACTGATGTAGATTTTACTTTATCGCATTCTCTTTTTGTATTGCATAAATTGTAACTCCAGTTTTTCAGTAAACCTATTGCTTTTTGATCCCACATTCCTGGCCATCTCTTCCCGGATTGAATCCACTCTTCAAACATTGCAATAGAGCGCTCATTGGGCTTTACGTATATTTGTCCAATGTTTATTGGCTCCTCGCTGCAAAACAGTAAATCAGCTCCAGCCGCGTCAGCATACAGCTCGAGTGACTTCCAGAGGTCTTTGTTACTGTAACTAATGTCACTATCACTCGTTACCAATGTATAACCCTTTCGTATAACCTCCAAATATAGCTGGAGTCTGTGCCACCCAATAGCATAATAGTTGCGATCCTGGAACAAAGCTTCTTTGTCAGCATCAAAATGTTTGAACTGTTGCATATATTTCGTACCATTGTAACATGGCAGATTCAGTTCGCGACACACTTGCAGCGACTTTTCTCCGATCGTTTCAACGATGTAGTTGCGAACTCTACCGAATCGTACTAGAGTATAAATATTATTCTGACATATAGCTTGCCATTGATGGCTAAAATGTAGTACAGCTATCTTTTTTTGATTATCACACGACGTCATTACTTTCAAAAGTGCTTCCAGATTATTCTCCAAATTCTGATACGGAAAGAAAAATTTATTTCTTGATAACAACCAAGGTGCAGCCGCTTGCATTACTGATGAATCGTCACAAGCTATCATTTTCCGAGGTGTGTTGAATTTTCTCTGCGGATAAAAGTAACCGAAATAAACCACAGACAGCAACACATGTAATGCAACCAAAACGAGAGGCTTGATATTTGGTTTGCACGAACTCATTGACTATGTGTGCATTGTATTCCGACAAACAAACTACTAATCATAAACAAGAAAGCACCCCGCCGGATTTGTGATGAAATCTGCCACCCTTTAAATTCAATTGGGAATAGAGTGGAAACATGAGACACATGCTTCTGAATATTTCTACATCTTTTTTTTCAGGAATTCTTTCGTGGAGGAAAAATCTCTATATGCATATTCGACCTCGCAACTATGCGATATGTTGCTGTGTAAAAAAAAATCGGGTCATACTGAACCTTNTGTAGTTCGTGTCACAGATCGAGATCGGTTAATGGAAGCACAATAAGAAGGATCACATATTGTGACCGATGAAGCCAAAATTTCTTAAAAAGCAGCAGACATCGCTATTGATAATGATATGTTGCTTTCAACAGCTTAAGTTTAGATAAATGGGAATTCAGACTGAGAAATAAATTGAGCATTCTATGTGTTCAAAGTTTGTCCGGCTGGATCGTGTTTCACATTTTTAATCCCGCTAGAGATTGCACTGAAAGCTTTCTCAGATGTACCTAAGTCGGATGAAATGATGAGCTATGTGCGAAATACTAGTTTTATATTCAATTCATCAATCGATTTTCAAGTGGGTTCGTTAGCTGCCTAAAAGGTTGTCAGAAAGTGCCCAAATGGTACGTACCTTTGTGTAAGCAGTGTTATGGTCTTTTGCTTCTTTTGTGAAACACGATCTGAAAGAGAGTGTTGAAGTGTGTAGGGGCAGAAATTTGGACCCACCGCCCCTCCCCCTCACCCGCCACAGACGTTACTGACGCCCCGAAAACCCTATCACAGACGGGCCCAAAAAACAGTAAAATACCGTTATAAGCAAGCCCAAAAGCCCTGTGACAAATCGTTACCGACTGGCCTTGGCTGTTATTCATTGTTTTCTGTAAAGGTGCACGTAAAAAACGAAGAGATAGATGGAGAGGTTGTTATGTAAAAAGGCAAATAAACTCTATATCATTGTCTCACAGACAGGGTGACTCTCAACTTCATTATGTCGACCCACGTAGATCTCAGCACAGATCGTGATCGGTTAATGCAAGCGCAATAAGAAGCATCACATATTGTGACCGATGAAACGAAGATCTTTTAAAAAGCAGCGGACATCACTATTGAGAATAATATGTTATTTTCAACAGCTTAAGTTTAAATAAATAGGAATGAACACTGGGAAATAAATTGACCATTCTATGTGTTGAAAGTTTCTCCAGTTGGATGGTGTTTCCCATTTTAAATCCCGTTAGGGATTGCGCTGAAAGCTTTTGAGTAATATGACCAATACTCAGATGATTTGGTACAAAATGTGTTAGCATGAGTTGAGCAACTGAATCAAACGCTTCTGCAGTTCGCCTTTGTCTAGATTCCATATCACCATCAAAATTGAACAACGAGTCAATCTGTCTGAACGATAAATTAGTTTTAACCTTGATCCAGAATATAGCGAAAGCGTTTCTTGAAGTGCGATTGTAAGAAGAATGGAGGTACATCGAGATTTGGTCGAACATTTGATCGAATTGCTCGATGGTCCAGCCCCTCCATGCCTCGTAGTCTTCATCAGTTAAAAACCGATTGTCGAAGTCGAGATAAGATGCTAGCTGCGATTCTTGAATGAGGCTTAGAAGATCGTCAATAAGCGCCTGGTCTTGGTCAGTAGTTAAAGACGTTGATATTCTTTGACGCTATTCAAATATTACATTGACATCTGGATGAAGGTGACCATTCGAAAGTAGATGATATGAATAGCAGCGAACATCAAAAGGAGCAAAAACACGATGCAAAACGAGAAGGTCAAAACGAGAAGGTCAAGACGAGCAAGTTTCGGCATCGTTTCCATAGAGGATGAAACGTCAATGCGACATGCAACACATTTCTTATGTCCAGAACTTGTAGAGAGTACAGTATCCAAGGTTAGTCGACCATCATCGTCATTTCCTTGATCTGCATTCATTGTTTCGACACCGCTAGATATCGGTGAAGGTGATGAATTGAGGAGAGCAGACGCTTTGATCATGTAGAACGAGCGGTGACACGATTTGCAATAATATAAATCGTTAATATCAAACGTAATTCCATTTGATTCTAGATGTTTATGGTATCAAATATAGGTAGATGACGAAATAGAAGTTACACACTTGTTTTCTTTCCAGTAGCCACACATAATACACTTCTTGTGAGGCATTTCAATTTCTTTAGTTTGATTAATCGACAGACTTGGTATAGTAAGCAAAGAATACTTGAAAAATATGATATCAATGATAATTTTTAATTGCAACGGATATAACTTCCATGCAAACAACAACACCCAATCAAGAAATTCGCCAGGGGGCACTAGTGAAGACATCAGACTACTTCGTTTTTAGTTAAGGTTGCCGACAGGCAAAAGTGGAGCAAATTTTTTTTGTTGAATTTTTTATGTGATATGATGCAGTCTGATGCATTGAATCCGAATATGTAGAATTTAGTGACATAGAAAGTCGTCTTCGAGGAGAAATCTTCAAAATACTACAAAAACTGAGGTTTTCGAAAAATGAAGATTT